GATGGTGTGATCAAAGATGGTGGTTTTTATGTGCATAGGTAGAGGGAAGAGGGAATGGCCTTGCGGGACAGAAAGAGGAGCCACTACCAAGAAAACGGCCAGATAAAAGAGGGCTGAGTTCGGGGCAGGAATGTAATGTGAGTAAATGTCTCAGATAAACCCCTCCCTAGCTCTCAAAAAGATAAAGGGAGTGAGGAGGGAAGCGCGTTCAGACTTGCAAGGTTCTGTTACTATAGTTTTACAATAAAAGTAGTATCAAGCTACATGACATTGGATTCCCAGTCTGGTCTACCTTGAAGGGCTGACAGCATCACACCATGCTGACCTTTTGCCCACACCCTGCAAACATCCTGCTTCTCTCTGGCCTGGTCAAGGGAGAAACGCCCTGTGGACAAGGGGGCTTGTCTTGGAGCAGAAAAGTGGGAAAGAGAGAATCCCCCCGGTCTGCATTCAAGATGTAGCCTTTTCAAGTCCACCTGTCTTGACATTGCTAGCGGTGTGGTCATGTCACACTGATTGCATCTGCACCACACTTTCACCTTGGGGACTAACTTCACCCATTTTCCGAGTTTGCATAAACCACTCAGTTATAAGAAACAACTAGGCTGAGTTTGCAAAAAACTGAAACAAGATAATAACCCCAAATTACCTTCAGTATTTATTTCTGGCGCACTGCACGCTGAACCCTTCTTGCATGCCATTTGTGTGCGACCCCTTCACTAGATCTTTTCACTCTTGGCCTCAGGATAGGTTGACTGGATTCACATAGTGCACTTAACTGGTTACCAAGTTAATCCATTTTTGTGGGTTTGCCCAAAACACTGACCATTAAACCCAGCGGGCATAACATCCTAAGTCACGAAAAACTAACCCAGGTTATCCCTAACCAGGTATAATGTGCTGTGTGAATGTATCCACTCGATGTTTTTGCTGGCTGGTGAATCCCATCATGCAAGTGTAGCCACAGAGTTGGCCTTTAAGTTTCCCTATTTCACATTTTAAAGCCTACAATCACCCCAACCCTCTCCCTTCTTCTTCCACCTGGATCTCCGTCTTCTTGCTGCAGGGTTGAAGGTGAAGAAATCCAAGAATCCTGGTTGCCCAGATAGTGATTGTACCTTTTACCACCACACAGAGAGCAGCTGCCAGCTCACCCACAACCACAAATCAAAGCTGGAATGCACTTTGTGAGCTGTCTGGCTCTAATGGAGAGTCTTAAATTGTGTGGTGCGCACAGCTGCTTGGGCTGCAGCCACAAGGCCATAAAGCACCTGCTGGAGCCCAAGCGCGTCTTGCTGGAGAAAGGTCACCCACCACGGAGGCCATGTTGAGAGCTGTGAGTGGGAGGAAAATTGTGTCTTGTCCTTGTAAACATCCTGAAGGCTTATTTGAAATCACAGCATTGAAAGCAGCCCAACTTCTCCCGGCTTCCCTTCTTGAAGTCAGCGCGGAAGCCAAGGCCAGGTGCCACAGACTCATAGCCCTGGGGGGCTGCGCATCACGACTCCCCCCACTCCCCGCGGAGCCTGTGGCAAAGCTTGCTGGGCTACACCAGTCTGAGCACCTGGCCTGGCTGTGCTCAACTCGGCCTTGCAAACTCCTGGTGCTGCCGACGGAAGAGAAACTACCAGGAGGCTCAAAAAGTCCATGGCCCAGCTGACGAACACGGGACGGGCCTCACAACAGGGGGACAGCTCCCGGTGCTGCACGAAGCCCCTCCCCTGGTTCAATCCAGTCAATCACTGGGGCCTTTGTGTCGCACTGGAAGCACTGGCAGAGAAGGGCAGCAGGGGGGCACAGCCACCACAGGGCCCCTGGCCTTCCAGGGGATGGAAAGGTCCCGTTGGGAAGGCGTGGTCTGGGGAGAAGCAAAATGCCGCCATCGGGGATCTCTCGCCAAGCTGTTGCGGGACACGCCCGATCCCGCCCTGCACTTGCGCTCGGCCTTCTGCGGTGAAGTGGCTCGGCTCTGCCCCAAACGCCCCCAAAGGCTCCCTCCGCTCAGGCAGGGGCAGGGGGGGGAGCCCAACTGTGAGCAGGGCCGAGAAGAAGACAGCGTGAGATTCCAGAAGGAGGTCAGCTGGGGAGTGTGAACAGTGGAGGGGCATCCGTGGAAGGAGGGGTGTTCAGGAAGTCAAAATGGCAGCCGTGGCACACAGTCAAAGGCCCACCTCTTTTGGGGGGTGTTGCACGTGCCTCATTTCACTTGGGGAGTTCGTTTTATTATAAGCAACACTTTTTTTATTGAACATTTGGATTTTGTCCACAAGTCTGCTTCAGTCCACCAGCACGCCATCCACACTTGGGAGATTGCTGTGGCTCTTTTCCTGAAGGAAAAGATGGGGGCAACCAAAGAGCCAAAGCAACCCAGGGCGCTGCTGCTGCTCCTTCCTCTGGTTTCTCCTGGGACAGATCCAGAGCCAGCGGAGGCCACGTCTGCCCCATTCCCCCAGGTGTATGCAGGTGCCCTGCCTTCAGGACAGGAGTTGCCATCAAAGGTTGCCTTCTGCCCGTCTTCTTGGCCTGCCACCCCCAAATGCTGATCTGAAAAGAGAGGCTTAAAAGCCCGTGAGAGCTTCATGCTGAAGTCCCAGGGAGATGCTAGAGACACTGGCCACCATCACCGACCCCTGCTGTAATCGTGTCTGACCACAGCCAAAGCAATTGGTTCCTCTCACCCAGATGTTCCCTCTTGGGATTGCTGGGGCAGTTGCTGTTGTGCCTTTTTCTCCAAAGTATTGACAGTAGCCCTCTCTAACGAAAGGAGGGAGGGACGGAGGGAGTGGTGACATTGATGTCCCAGCCTATCTGAGGATGAAGATTGAAGAGATGCCTTCAAGAGCCTCTCCTAAGTGATCTAAGCAGCATTTTCCAGACTCTTCTAAATGACCCAGCAACCTCTGCTAGCAACACACCTGCAAGAGCCAGGAGACAAAGGGACCTTTGGTTCACGCCTCCAGGTTCCATGCTGTCCCCCCCGCTTGTGATCTCATCACTCAGCCTTTGACATCAGCCAACCAGCAACCAGGAAGTAACAGCTGCTCCAGGGAGATTCAGGTGGGTCTCAGCCAGATAGCGGTGGGCTGCTCACAGGAATCAGGGTCCTTTCCCTTGAGGTAGGTCTGAGGGAGCCCTGGGGAAGGGGCTGCTTGAGGCCTCCTGCCCCTCAGGCAGGAGCAGCATTACCTCATCCATCCAGGTTTGGCCACCATATTGGTCATCTACAATGTTCACAAGCTACCCAACTCAGGCTGGAGCTCTGACTTGGGGAGGGAGTAGAACTGCGTGAGGGGCTGAAAGTGGGATTGGTGGCCCAAGAGCTGTCCTGGATGCCCACTGGCTGATGCTGGCAATCCAAATCAAGCAGAACTTAACAAATAAATGGGAACGAGAAGGCTGCCCCCTCCAGGACAGCAGGAGGAGGGAGCTTCAGTGAGAGGAATTCCTACTGGGAATTTCCCCCATTCCAAATGCTGGTAGCCATTATGGCCTGTGTCCCTTTGAGTGGAGACTGTCTCTCTCTCACCTCCCCTTTCAGCACCAGCTGTGCCTCCACCATCCCCCAAGGGCTGTCCTTTGGGAAGGGGGGAGAAGAAGAGGAACAGGCCGCCCAAGGGGGCAATTGCGGCTGGGCTGGAGCTCATCTTAAGGGTGGCTGAAGCTAAGTCCTAGTGCCGGCTTTGGATGAGCACTTCAGACCTTGGTTCATTGGGAAAAGGGTTCAGACATTGTGGAGAAGTTGGAAAATGGATGGTGTGGATAAGCTGAGTTCACCCAGCTTGCCCAGAAGCATGGAAGGAGGCGCCCAAAAGCTGTGCTTCTCCACTCGTTTCACAGAAGCCTTTTGCAGTCTCCTGCTGAAGGGAAGAGGCGAAACGCAGCTCTCACTTGGCCTGCTGTGTCATGGGTCATCCCAGATGTTTCTGGGGATGGGCCTAGCTGTGTGGTCCGGCCTGGGAGACACCCATTTCTGCCCCGAACATCCTCCTGCACTGCCCTCTGCTGGCGCCACGTAACAGGCTTTGCTTCTTTAACTCGTTCTGCCTCTCTCTCTCTCTCCCATGTCAGTTTTTTAAACAAACCAAAATAATAGCAGGCTTGGGAAGATTTGAACATGCAAAGCACACCTCTCCCATGAGGTCCTTGGTGGCTGGATGACAAGCCAAGAACTCCCAGTGCAAGGCTGACATCACAATGCTGCTGGGGAGATTATGGAGACGCAGTGCTGGCTAGAGACCTTGCCGCGAGGCTCCTGGTGCTGAGGAATAGGGAAAAACGGACCTGGGGCCGGCTGCAAAATTTTCAGAGCCAGGGAAAGGAGTCAGGGAGGCTATCCAAAGTGCCTCGTAGCCAACGATTTGATGTGGCCTTATCGCCTGCTCTTTCTAAGTGTTTGCTCTTGGGATGTTTATGTTTTGCTCAGGTTTTTAATTGCTCTCATTTAGTAAGTCAGGTTCTGCGTCTTCAGGCAGAAAAGAAGGATAAGAATAAATCACCCCCTCTAGTGGTTAGCAGGATGGGAGCTAAAAGAGCAAAACGAGGGAAGGGTTCCCAGACAAAAGCGTTTAGGAAAATGAGGTGCGTGGCAGAGATATGTGTGTGCACACCCAGAGTCCAAGGGGTATGCTCAGCAGCCCTGGAGTATCGACTGTCAGCTGAAAATGACAAAAGGGAAAAGGGAGGGAGGAAGGAAGGATCTTCCACTTCTTCTGATGGAGCAAAGCAGCCCAGGGGGAAATTTGTCCCAGCATAAAACTCAGGGTGGCAGCCTTCCAGACTGCGGGAGGCTTCAACTTCAATGTTAGGGATTGTGGAGGAGGGCTCAGGGACCCCCCTTGAAGGAGCCACAGGGGCCAACCCACCCCATCCTGGGTGCACGGGCAAGCATGCATGCCATTACTGGGGCCCGGAGAACAAGACGGAGCCGGTCCCCTGCACCTTCAGTCACGGCATTCAGCAGGCCTCTCTCTGCTTCTTCCCACCCTTCAGCCACCAAGGCCATGGACAGCAGAGGCTCTGGGTCCCCAAGTCTCCCAGGTAAGGAGTCCCGTCTGCGCTGATGCCCCAGGACCAAGGGAGTAGGAGAAGCCAGCAGTGAACGGAAGCGCGCCAGAGGGAGCGGAAGGCCAATGCGCTGATCTGGAGCCCGGCCACCTGCTTGCAGAAGGAGACGGTGCCTGGCCTCCCTCAGGGGAGCTGCCGGGGGGGGGTTGGAGTACTTGGGAGCTTGGCCAGCTCCCCGCAGCCCCATCTTTTCTGCGGTTCCTGGCTGGGGAGGCTCAGCCTCTTGTGGAGAAAGCCTATTCTTGGCAGAGTCCAGAAGTGGGAAAGATCTTGGCAGGGCAGCCAAGCCTGAGGGCTCGCCCCAAGCCACTGCAGGGTGGGCAGCCCTTGGGGAGAGTGGGGGTTGCGTGGGGGTGTAGGATATGTCATTAAGAGATTTTCTTCTGGAGGCTTACAGTCT